TAACCATTTTGTTTTTGCAAAGCAATCTGAAGAGGATGTGAGCCAGTTTGATTCAAAGTTTACACGTCAGACACCTGTTGATAGCCCAGATGACTCAACTCTCAGTGAAAGTGCCAACCAGGTCTTTCTGGTGAGTGAGGAATGGCTGGAGAGGGAGGTTTTTACTGGGAGCAGGGGGGCACTGCAGCTAAATTAATTCTCTGGAATCCTACCTGATATTCAAAGCAAACCCTCATCACTGGACCCAAACTCTGTGACAGGTTGGAGATGTTGAAGGGCTCTGAGGACACTTTGCTATCTCTGACGTTTTCTTTATGCACCAGCCAGCAAACGGTGCCTCCTTTGTGGAATGTCAGCATTGTGATTCAGAGCTGCATTCTGAACCCTGGCCACGGGGTTGCTTTCACAGTCATGCAGAGGGAACAATGTCCAGTCCAGAGAGCAAAATTAATTAAAGTGAGTGTGCCTGTGGGAGTCTGGGAGCAGAAGTAGCCGGGTTGGAGCATCAGGTTGGGAACTCCCCAGAGTCCCACTGTTTGCTTCGAGGAGTAGAAGTTCCTGTGTCTGCATTTACTCTTCCTTTTGTAATTTTCTGATCATAATCAGGTTTTCATGGTCACTGCAGAGTGATCCCCAGGGTGAATGTTGCCTCCCTTGCTGTCTTGCAGGGTTTTACCTACGTGGCTCCATCAGTACTTGAAAGCGTAAAAGAGAAATTTTCTTTTGAACCAAAAATCCGCTCCCCTCGCAGGTTCATCGGTAGCCCAAGGACACCAGTCAGGTACCTCTCTTTTATTCCTTCTTTTTCCTTCTTTTTCCTTCTTTTCTTTTTTTGTAACACACCTTTTGACAAGTAGAAATTCAAAATGCAGCCTTGCTCCTCAGCCCAGCACTTCCGTTCGAGTTACAGGATCGACCCTGTTTTACAAACCACGTTATCATGATAAATCTGTGGGGTTTGGCAGCACAGGAAGTACTAATTTGCTGCTTTTTAGTGCTGCTGCAGCCCCACTCCGGTGACTTTGGTTCACCATCCCTCTAGAACTGTTTCAGAACATCCTAAGAGCTTTGTGCTGCTAAAGAATCCTGTTAGTCCAGAAAGAATCATGTCAGTGCAGTCAGTGCTCTTTGCTCAGATTTGCAAACTGGAAGGATTCAGCAATATCTTGGTACTAACAAAGAACCAACAAGAAAAGATGGTTATGATTGAGCAAAAATTAGTGGTTGTTTTTTTTTTCTTCCTGATAAGCCTTTCATTGATTCTGCAATCACCTAGAAATGCACCCTCAGATGACAGGAATGTACTTTACAAGAGACAGTGGTAGAAGCTCCCCGTGGAAATTTCTCAAACTTCTGGAAGTGGAAGGAAGAATTAGAAATGCTTCTCAATAGGCATTTGAGCTTCCTGCAGAGTAACAGATCCCCCTCGGTGCCGTATCCCCAGCTCTGATCTGTGTGTTTCTTGTTTTAAAGCCCCGTCAAGTTTTCCCCCGGGGAGTTCTGGGGAAGAGGTGCTTCTGCCGGCGCATCGACCGCTCAGCCGCCTGTGGAATACCCGATGGAGACGAGTGGGATAGAACAAATGGATGTGACAGTGTGTGGAGAGGCTTCAGCACCGCTTCCAATCCGGCAGCCAAACTCTGGGCCCTACAAAAAACAAGCTTTCCCCATGATCTCCAAACGACCAGAGCACTTGCGCATGAACCTATGACAGCACCGCGGTTGGGAACCGAGAACAGACGGGAGCCCCCTTGGAGCTGAAACACGAGGGCTTGTTTGGTTTACTTTTAAAAAAAGTGACAGTATCAAAGAGTCAGTCATTGCACAGAGAGACTTGGAAAGCAAAGAAAAAAAAAAAACGGATTTTTTTCTTTTTGGTTTTTTTTTTTTTTTCCTGTCAATCAATGGTGCATAAAAAAAAAAAAACTTCAGCAAATGGTATTGCAGAACTCTAGGCACGTCATCTAACGATTCCAGTGACATCTGCTCACCTTATCAAGGATTTCTCAGCTTGGAACTGACAGTATTAAGGGTCAGGACGTTGCTCCAGAATCACTGGTGTAGTGAATGTGTCGAGGAGGGTTAGCCCTTTCACTAGGCAGAGGATGAAACGCCTGTGCTTGCAGCTGAGGGGTAATTAGCATGCAAGCTTCGTTAAGAGGTTTCCTACAACGGGGTGGAATCAAAGATGAAAGCTAAAATTAATTGGTATCTCACGTTCAAAACATAATGAGGTTTTTTTATATATATATATACAAAAAAAAAAAATATATATTTTTCAAATAGATTTTTTTGATTCAGCTCATTATGGAAAGGATCCCAAAATTGCAAACGCAGAATAATTGGTGAAGAAAGTTGCTTGTTTGTTTGTTTGTTTTTTTTTCAAGGCTCTGGTTCTGATTCTTCTCCTCATCAAACAACAAATCAATAAGTGAACCACTGGCCAGCTTGGCAGTGTGGGGTGGGACTGTTTTTCACTTGCTTCCCCAGCTGAAATCCCTGTTCCTGCAGGGACCAACGGATCTAATCAGAGGCAATGCTGCTATGTTGTTCTAGGCTTAACTGGAAGCCACGGGCTCACACACGTCCTGCTTATTTCATCCCTGTCCTCAGCAGACATTTCACTGGGAAACATCACTTTTTTTGTCCCTTGTGCTGGTGCTGGAGGCAGCTCAGCACAGCCAGGTTCTTACCCACAGCGAGATCAGGAGACTGTGCATCCCATCACAAGGTCAGTAGAGATCTATAGCAAGTCCCCCAGGGAACAGAGACAAGCCCTACATAGCAGGAAGGAAATAACTATTTTTGTAACAGGTGGGTAAGAATGTGAGGATTTTATTTTTTTTTTTTTAAAGTATAATAATTATTAATAAAATTTTGCTTACGGGAGTTCCCTGCCATTATACATTTCTAAATTTCTCCACATTTTTTTTTTCTATGCTGGGGCAATAAATTTGCTGATTGTACGAGAAAAAGTGTTCAATGGCCTTTCAGTGAATGTCTTCCACAGTGGGTCAGAACTTGAGCAACCTTCATTTAGGAAACATGTTCTAAGGACACTATATTTATGTTTTTAAAACTGTCACATGATCTGTACAACTGACTTACAGGTACAAAGAATAAAATAAAGGTAAACTTTACCTTCCTTAAATATATACTTCCTGCCTTAAAGAAAGCATTTCCATGAGCATAGCTGGTGAAAGGGTTAAAATCTGCAGAGCTTTACACTAGTTTAGGGTGTGTCTGCTGTGTGTGTGTGTGTGGAGATGATCCAGCTGCATCCAAGTCCTGTCACTTTTTGCCTGCCACATGTTGCATTATCCTTAGTCAAACTGTGCAAAGTCTACTTCTGGTGTTTCACAACAGTAGGGATTTTTTTATCCTAGATTTCCGCTTACTCTGTGGATACTGAACCTTTTTTGAGCCATAGGATCCAAGCCATAAAACTCTCTCAAGCATTGAATCCGCTCAGTGCTCTTTGCTCAGATTTGCAAGTCGGAAGGATTCAGTGATACCTTGATACCAACAACAAAAAACGAGCAAAAATTAAGATTTTATCTCTTTTGTTCTTCCTCTTGTTAAAAAAGTTTGAATTTCCTGAGGCAGATCAAGTTCCCTTGCAGTGCCACACTGGAGGATTGCAATTGTTCAGGGGGGGGGCGTTGTGAAACCAAAACCCAAGTGCTCAGGAGTTGTTTGCACTCTGCATATCTGCAAACCTGGCTGCATTCTGGATTGCACTGTTTGCATGGGGAATATCTGCCAAGGCCTCAACCTCCAGCCCCTGGAGCCTCTGTGCTGCTCGTTCCTGAGGTGCCCTGATGTGGCCACTGAGGAGAAAGGGACTTGCTTAAAAAAAATAGTCGTTTTTGGAGGCAGATCTCTCTTGGTCCCAGTTCCAGCCACCGGTTGCTTTTTGCTTGGCTGGGTAGATTGTCCAGTGGAATTGGTTTATTATGGCTGGCAAGAATGGCAAGAGTTGTTTGTCTGAGTTCACTGAGGAATTACAACCCCCAACTCATCGGTTTTCCAAGGAAATTCCATGTACTGTCAATGTTTCATCCCATAGGTTCTAAGTTGAATTCCCTACCATGACTGTGAAACTTTGGGAGTGTGACTCAGACAGCAAGCACACACTATGCAATATGGTTTATCCTGTATTTATTTGTAAAAAGATCAGACATAGATCCTCTATATATATATATAATAGTGTCAAAATTACTAGTTGTGAACTGAGGGGAGTGGAGTTGTAGCTCCTGTCTGGCTATTTCAGATAAGTGCAGAATGCATTGAATATTGGAGAGCTTAACAAGTGCTTTCTTTTGTTCATTTAAAAATGTCTTAAATTTTTCATTAGAGTATAGAATCTTATTTTTTTTATTTTGTACAAGCTGCGCTTTTTTAATTATAATCACTGAAAAATTCACTATAATTTGATTTTATAGGATTTTTGTAGCATTACAAAAATATAGTAAAACTGAGGTTAATACCTGTTGTGGCTAACCATATAAAAAGTATTAAATCTTAAACTTGAACAAAAGTCATATTTTTTTTTACTAGATGTTAAATAGGGAAATATTTTGTTCTGCAGGTCATTCTCAGAAAAGGTTTCTAGGTCAGCTGTGTTACCAGCAGTTTTTCTTTTTCCCATTTGATGCAGAAACTCTTCTGGTATAAGATATTCCGAATTCCATCAGTTTTCTTGTGGGAGTGATGCATTTGACGCCATTCGTGTACTAAATTGTAATTTTGGGAATGCTGGAATAATTCCTACCAAGACTGTCTTAATTGTGCCATCTGACATTTGAATGTCATCCTGGTATTAGCTCATAATAAAAGATAAAAATCAACGAGTCAATTGTTCTTTTGAATATCCCTTTTTCCTGGTCCTGCTCTCTAAAGGCTGAACTGCTGGAGAACATTTAATATCTGAGTCCACTCTGCTGTGGAGGTTTATTTGGGGCCTGTTCTCTTTTCAGTATTAACTCCCAGCCTGTTCTCACTGTTAATCAAGAAGTGCATCAAACACTGAGGGAGGACTCTTGTTTTTAGGACGTGGTTGGGGTTTGGTTGGTGTGGTTAAATTCTCTTTACAGGATAGTTGCTGTTTTATTTTCCCAGTTTAGAGGGAAATCCTTTATCCTAAGGGGGAAAGGAAGAGTCATTAAGAACAAGGCAAATTGAATATTTTTCCTGCAGGTCCTTGGTGATCCACTGTGTGCAGTTCTCAAATATGAACTTCCACAGGTTGTTCTCTTCCAGATTAACTCCATCTGCAGCTGCTGCAGGAACACACCTGAGCTGCCTCAGTACAGACAAGGTAATCCCTGTTCTGGGCTCATCTTTCCCAGTTTACTGGGACTAAATGTCCTCAAGTGCTCAGTAAGATGGATGTGAAGAGCAACTAAAAGCAAATTTAAACGTGTCAATCCCAGTGACCTGTTTGTTTCTTTTTTTAGGAAGTGGGAAGGCCCTGAGTATAACTATGGATGGAAATCATTGTGACAGCTTGGATGGGAAAGGGAGGGAGGAGGAATTCCCTGAGAACAGAAAGGACCTGGGAGATGCTCTTTGGCTCAGCCTGTTCCCAAGGGCTGGTCCCCTCACCTGGGCTTTGGGGCTCAGAAAAAGCAGCTGTTGGTTGTCACTTGTCACCTGTTCTCTGTTCTGCCCCTGCAGAGTCAGATGTGCTGCCTGTTGGTGACCCTGGCCTGCATCAGGAAGAGCTGCATCCTAATTCCATGTGGATCAGAGAGGGTGGCATTCCTGGAGGTGAGTTCCTGCCTGTTTTCCCCTCTCTGTATCTGAGAATGAGCCGTTTCATTTATGAAGTGTAAATCTAAACCGGTCCATCAAAATCTCTTCGTGGTTCTTTGGTTTTAATAAAACCTGTTTGGTACTACTGGGTTTGGATAATTGTCACTGCATCTTCAAGGGAAAAAAAACCAAACCACCAACAGAAAGAAAGAATAAAACCCAGATTGTTCCCTGGTCCTGCTTTTGACCAGTCTCCACCCTTACTCCAGTTGTTACTCCAGTGTGGAGCACAGAGCCCAGAGGATCAGGGTTGACTTAAAGCACTGACACTGTTTGTTGTGCTCCATAAAATAATCCTGGTGAGCTTTGAGGGCCAGCTGACACTGCTGAGTTCTTGTGTTGTTTTGTTTGTTTTTTTTTTATTAACCACAAGTGAATACTTTAATTGGTTTCATATTTTTAAGTAGTAATTCTGGCCTTGCCTGCAGTCCTTGATGCCTTAATTCCTCAGTGGATACTGAACCCCCTGGTGAGGTGAGCAGTTTGGACTTTGTCCTACAGCAAAACATTTAGTTCAGGGTGATTTCTTCCAACTTTCTCTGCAAAGCTGGAATGTTTCTGTGTGGAGCAGCACTTTGAAGGGCTGTCAGTACCTCCTCAGCCTGCCAGTCTGAGCTGCTGGTCCTGACAGACCGATGGAATCGAAGTCTGGGGCTGCCCATCACTGCTGGGCAATTAATGTAATCAATACTGAGGAATTAAGTGCATTTCCTTGCTCTAACATCATGTCCAAGTCTGGGGCCTTTGAGTTTCTGTTTCCTCTGAGAGGATTTTTGAATGGAAAGAGTGATTATTAAGCTGTTGGAATTAGCATTTCAGGGAAAGCTGCTCCGGGCTGAGTTGCAATGTTTATTTTGCCTGGTATTTTGGAAGGGGTTGGTTGTCACATCTGCCCTTACAAGCTCTGTGTTGGGTTTAGCCACACATTTTACTCACACCAGCAAAGGTTTTTTTACTCAGAATCCTGAATTCTGCCCACATTCCCCTGGGAGCTGTGCCTTTAAGGGCTCTCTCCCATCAGCCCTGGCAGCCCCATAAAGGTCCCTGTGGCAGCTGCAGCTCTGGAGGATTCACTCCCTGCCCTTCCCCTGGGGTTCTCCATCATTCACCAAGTAAGTGTTTGACTTTTTAATGCTGTTTGTACTCAATTTAGAACTTTCTAAAGGTATTCAGTTCAGGCAAACTCAGGTTAATGGCAACTAAATGTGACTTTCCTGTAGCAAAATAATTTGAGTGGCTTTTTTCAGCCTTATCTGAGCAGCAAAGTGAGAAAAGACAAGCAGGAAAACAAAGTGAGATTATATATAATTAGTGCTATAATTAACATAAAACCTAATCATGAATAAATTGTAGCATTTGAAGGGGTTTTGTTTTTCAGAGACATTAATTTAACAACAAAACTAGACCTGGCACTGAGCTTTAAATACTCAAACAGTAACAAATCTTTCTTTATTCAACATGCACCAAACAAGTAGATTTAAATGCATTTATTCTCTCTGATTTTTATGCATACTACAAATTTGCAAATGCAGTATAAAATAGATTCTCCCCTGTAAGAAAATCTGGTTCCTGTCACAACAAAAAATATAATATTAAAGATCTGTTTTAAAAATACCAGCTTTATAAAATGCTCAGTAAAAAACTACCATCAGTGGTTGGTTTAAAGGCAAAAGATTAAGCCAAAGATCCATTAGAAGTATACAAGAACCTAAAGGGAAACATCTTATTCTTGTGCTTATCCAGGTACAGTGAGAAACAGTTGCTGGTACAGGTGCATGAGTAAAAAAGCAATTTAATTGAGTGGGCAAGCACTGAAGGATCTTTAATGCCAAGTGTGACAAAGAGCTCTAATTCTCACTGTAGTCCAGAGGATAAAGTTTGCTCAAATAAAAGTGGTAGGTTGACCTTTGGGGTTGAGTCATGTTAGAAGATAAATAGAGTTTAGCACAGTCTGGAACTCAGGATGTTGAATTAAGTCTTAATGCAGCACATTTCAGGATTTCTCTGGTTCCTGTGACAGTCACAAGAGAAGCAATGCTGGCTTTGTCTGCATTCATTCTGAAAACTTAAGTTTTCTCTGCTTAAAAAAGGCCAAGTTACCATTTTCTGCTGTGTTTTAAAAACTGGAACGTTTGGTAGGAGCCTGGGCTGTAGAACTGGGAAAGCTCCTACAAGTGAATCTGCAGGAAACTGAGAAAGCTCAGAGGGAACAAACCAAGTTGTTTGAGAAGCTTTAGAAAATCTGGAGGTGCATTGATGTGGCTCCATCCTTCCACTTGTTAACATGGTCTGAAATGACAGTTCTGCAGAGGGGACACGTTTTTTCTCTATTAAACCACAAACTGATGCATTCTTCACAAAATGTGTGCTGCAAGAAAAGCAGGAGAACTTAGAGCTCCTAAGCCCTTCCATGTGTAACATTCTATATTAATTGCACAGCCTGATTTCTGCAAATAATCATAAAACATGTAGTCACCCATCTAATTTTATGTTGTTTAAAATAGTCTTTAATTTGCACGAAAAATAATAATTGGGATTATGTGTGTTACCTGACAGATGAGCAGAATAGGCTTCTGAAAATCAGCTTGGCAGATGGGACAGATATCATCTGATTCTGAGCACTGTCTCTTGCTGGCTGGCACCCCATAGTGCTGCAAAACAAAGGGACTTCAGCAAATTTTGGTTTCTAGGGGGATGAAAAAGCCAAGACCAAACACCAGGACAGAAAGGAATTTGGGCTGCTATGTCAGGAAGAGCATTAAATCCCTAACCCAAGGAAATATTGCTAATTTTATAAGTAGAGCAGGCCAAAAAGGGTGTGTTACTTTACATCCTTTTGCCTGAAGGGTTGTGCAGAAGAGATTTTGGGGGGGTTGCTGTTGTTCAGATGACAATAAAATCAAGTAGTTAAGGGATTCAGACTGAAATGGGACAAGGGAATACAGGGTTTCCTGTAAAAATGCAGTTGTTTATTGCTAGAACAGTACAAAGCAATGTGGGAATGAGGTATTTAAAAAGTATTTGCATGTAAATTGGGTTTATGGTTTTGAATTTTTGAACTCAATACTCACTGGGCGTGTAAAAAATATCCGTAAAACCTGCCTGAAGTTTCTCAGTTGTCCAAAAAAGCTCAAAAGCTGAAATGGGAAAGAAAACTCAAGTTATGTTTAGTATTTTTTCCTCTGTGAACTAAAAAGCTTCCAAGCTTTTGGCAGTGGCCTCACTGCTGGTTGGATGTTGGCAGGACATGAGCAAAGCCATAGTTCAGACTGACCCTCTTTGAGTTGTTTTATGTGTAACCAAACTAAGGTTTGTTCTTTCAGGTGTTTGTTCTTTAGAAGAGAAACAGTGTTGAGGTTCTGAACTGTAACATTTGAGTGCAAATATCTCACCATTGTTATCATATTTGCCAGTGTTGGGGTTGTAGTGAAGGTACCAGGGCATTAGGAAGTTTTGGTCATGGTCAAAGCCAAACTTGTCCTGACTCTGGTTCCATTTGGGGCAGAGGAGCTCTCTGGTGAACAGAGAGCCAGCCATGAGCATGTGTAGCTTGTTTGGCATCACACAGGATCCTCTAGCAGAGAGAAAATCCAGTTTCCTGGATTTTCCAGTTCTTTTAGTCACTGTACTTCTGCAGGCTCTTTTCCTCAGTATCCTACAACAGTCTGATCGGTGTCTGACGTGAGGGGATCTATAATAACTGTTCTTTGCTCTGCAGTCCCAACCCCTTCCCAGAACAGGGGCAGGACATGATGATTTAGGGTCCTGAGCCAGGTTTTTTATCAGTTTTTTGGGAGGCTGCCTCAGTTGAAGTGAAGCACTGACTTGCCACCAGTGCAGAGGGGAACTTCCAGCAATGTGTTGGTTTGTGTGTCCAAGTGGTTCAGAGGAATATAAAGCTGCCCCACCTTTAGGATGAGGTAGAGGAGGCCCAGCAGGATCCCAAGGGTCCATCCCAGGCCACTGTCCAGCTCCCCATGGGCAATGAGAAAACGGAACCACACTGGGATGGGGACAAACATCCGGTAATACTGGCACAGCTCTTCCAACAGCAGGTACCAGTAGCCCTGAGCAAGACATGCAAAGGAAGAGCTCAAGTTTTCAAACCCAAAGGGTTGGGAAAATACAGAGAACAAGATGCATTGTTATTCTTTTTCAGTAGCTCCCTCTCGTAATGTCTTGAAACAACTAAATATGAAATAACAGATGATGAGTCTCACAACTGTGCAAGTAACAAGAACAGAATTGATGGCTGGGCTGCAGAAAATCAAATTAATAGGCTGGAACATGATGGATTTGGCAGTTGTCTACCTACTTAATGCTGTCAGATTTCATAAGCATAAAAAAAGGAAATAAAAGTTGTATCAAAAAGAAAAATAAGACAAATTTGGTCACAAAGATCAGCTTGTCATGAGCCAGAGCTGTGCCCTGCATTCGGGGTTAAAAAATGAGAGTAAGGCCCATCCTTTTATTAACAAACATCAGTTACAAACTGTTTTCCTGTAAACATTATTTCATCCCTGGGTAAGAAGCCTTATCTTGTGATAATGAACTCATTTAAGGATGGGATGACAAGAAAACTGGGGGCCAGGAAAGAAGGGGAGGGTAACAGGTAACCAGAGTTCAGTAACACCCTAAAAATTCCTGAGGAACAAAACACAAGTGTCCTGCACAGAGCACTGTGTGTGTGCATGGATAATCATGGATATTTAGCTTAGCTATTACTTTATTGCCTTCAGTTTCTCTTTAAAATTCTATTTATAACAGAGAAGAAGCACCCCTTCTGCAATGGACACTGGATAGTGCCACAATTTGCCACTATTGATCAGATTCCTCCTTTAATTTAGGCACAATTTAGGTCACAGTTGGTGTAATGGAATTTTCAATAACTGTTTTTTAGATGTTACATCACCAGCTGTAGAAAACCCCAAAGATCTTGATTATAAATCAGTATTTAGGGAAACCAGTTGTACCTGAGAAGAACTTGTTCTGGCACATTTTAAGAGATAAAACCTCCCAAAACAATCCTGTTCAAATGCTACCACATGCAACTGCACTTGTTAATTTATTTTTTGGAACCAGCACTAGTAATTGCAATTTTAAGATAAAATGTAATTGGTTTTGCTGCCTCACCTCGGGAAGCAGATAAAAATAAATACACCACCAATCAGGGCAAGCTCCTGAGAAAATTATTAAACCTCACTGATTTGAGAAATTAAGCTATGAATCGAGGTCATTGATCTGACACAAATATTGCTGAGGTTTATCAGCAAAAAGAAAACTCAGAATTGCTGTGGAAGAGAGAAAAAAAGCAGCTGTTTGCATGTGCAGCCCTTAAAACCCTGACAGACATTGTCAGGCATGTACCAAATTTGCTGTGCCCCAGCTGCTCCAGGCCAGCTGTGCACGTTCTTGGAGTGCAGGAAAGGAAAACTTTCCTCAGAGACAGAAATAAACCCATTTATCCAGTGGCATAACAGGAGGAATTGTTTCCCAGCACACTGAGAACCTTCCTTAGCTCCAAGCAGGGAAGAACAGGAAGTCCACAGGGTTTTCTTGCCCAGGGTGTAGCGGTGGATTATATACAGATCTTTAATTAAAGACTTTTCTCTAGGTAGAATTTAATAATTAGCTCATTTTACCAGAAAAGAATCTTCACGAAGAAGCAAAAACAGAGCTTGTTTCCTTACCTTGGATTTAAAGGACATGATAAAAGAAGGCACCAAGAGAATAAAGCACTTGAAACCCATGAAGAGGAATTTCAGAATAAAATCCGTGACTCCCACAATCCAAAGTACCTCCCAGAAGTTCATAAAATCCACCGTAGGGTTTAAGAAGATTAAGCTACAAAAAGAAGTAGCAGAAGTTACTGGAGCACCCTATTTAGAGGCAACTGTAACCAGAGATTGTCATGGCAGGTTTAAAGAGGGAAACCTGGTTTACACCAAGGAAAAACGTTTGCCAAGGAATTGGGAATTGATCCTTAGGATCTCTGACAACCTTCCCGTTTTGGAGGCTTTGCTGTGTCTCCATCACAACCCTCATCCCTGGCTTTGCCTTCTCATTTTGGCACTCAACCTTTGATTCCCAGCCCAGGCTGCAGCTACAGAGGGGAACAAGGGGAAAAATCCCTTGGAGTCATAAACTGCCCAAAGCCCCAGAAGGGCCAAAGCTGGGAATCAAACCCAGGACATTCCCATGGCACAGCAGTGCCATTAAGTCCACTGTGAGGTCTAGGAAATTCCAACAGACTGTTTTTAAGCCCAGCACCTGCTGAGTTTGGCAGAAGAGGAGGAAAGGAGATTAAAGTGAAAGAGAAACCGAGGCCACAATTAAAGAGAAACAATAAATGTTCCCGGTTGGTTTTGAGTGATTTATGGGGTGAGTAGAGGTGTTTCTGTGCTTACCTGTAATACAGGGACTGAGAATGAAAGGTGTAGTACAGGAGCAGGGATGATGCACTCAGGTACAGCAGTAACCAGGTGCACTGCAGCTTGGAGCAGCGTTCCTGTGGGAGAGTTGGGAGGACACGTTGCAGTCCTTACCTCAGGAGCAGCGTCTGAAACAACCCCCAGAGCACCTCAACAGTCACTACCAGAGGATTTTCTCGTAGTGGTTTTAGGCCACGTGAAACAGGAGGACTCAGTGGAAAGGTAAAGCAGTAATTTTAATGTTTTCAAAATACCAATCTCTCTGTGTCCAGGTTTTTTCTAAAACCGCAACCAAACCCACCCCACTCTGAGGAAACAACAGGTTTCCCTTTGGGAGTGAACAGAGAGATGCAAATTTAGGCTGTCAACTGCTGTTTAATCCACAAGTATAGTTAAGTTCTTCCATAAGTTACAAAAAGCTTTTATCAGTTGAAGTGATTTCCACAGTCAAAGTCAGAGGAGGGGAAAAAAACCCCCTCTTTTTATCCTTATTATCTGAGAAGTTCTACACTGTACAGAAGCATTAAGACTACTTCCATCTTGAAACCTAACATTATTAGGTAAATAAGCAGTATTTCCATTCACATTTCTTTCAAAATTTGATGAATAAAAGTCTTGGTTAACTTAGAGAATTTTGTGTCATAGGATGATACTTACTCTTAGAAAAACCTGATTTACTATGCTTTTGTTTGCATAGGCATAAGTTGTTAGCAGCCCAATTCCAAGAGAAATGCCTGTTAGGAAAACAGGATCAGTTATACACATGAAAAGGAAAAAAAAAAAATCACTGAACTGGGTTAAAAAGCAGCCACTTCTCATATGTCTTTGTAATTACAATTAATAGCTCAGACTCTCCAGGCAGGATAATTAAGCACACAGTACATATGCCAGCAAAGGAAACAGCAGCCACTGAAATGCAGTTTAGCAAATCTCTCTTTCTGCTGAATAAAGCAAATAAAAATAAAGCTAAAAATAAATTGAATTATCCTTCAGGTTATTAGCCTGTCTCTTTGGGGGGGAGGGTTTCCTCTCTCAGCCCTGGCTTTGTCATACTCTACCACTGAGATGCTGCATGAGGAGTTTGACACAGAGGATCAGGAGGTAGGGCAGGCTCTTGTGCAGCCACTGCAGGAGGTAGCGCAGCTCCGACAGGGAGCTGCCGCCGGGATCCTCCGAGTCCAGGCCGGGATCCTCCGGCCCTGCTGCTTCCCCGTGGCCGTGGGAGCGGCTCTGGGAGCCCTGCCTGGAGCTCGTGCTCTCCCTGGGCTCTCCCAGCTGGATGTGCACGGCCCCGGGGCCGGGATGGCAGGAGCTGTCCCTGTCTCCAGCCGGACAGGGATCGCCGCTCCCCGCCAGGCTGTGGAGGTGGCCGCAGTTTGGCTGCATGGTGGGAGTTTTCCTGGTCCAGGTTCTTGCTGATTTGTGCCTCCTGGAGTGGGATATAAAAAGTCACAGTTGAAGAAAGAGATAAATAGGGGGGAAAAAAAAAGTATCCAATATATTGTACCGAGTGATTGTCTGGGTGAAGTAAAGACAAGATTCCCCAAGATCCCGTGTGTGTTCATTCCCAAGGCTGGGTTCCCACCTCCACAGGACAGCTTTCTGTGTGCCATTGAAATTGTTTCCTTCCACCCCTGTGCAGGTTTCCCTGGCATTCCTTAGGAACAGCTGAAGTTGCTTCAGTGCAAACCAGGGCAGCAAAAGCTGCTGGACAGGAGACCAGCAGTGGTTTGTACAGGAGAGATCTTGGAAGTGCTGCATAATTGCACAAAAATAGCAACAGCAGGAGGGCAGGGAAGGAGCAAACAGGGATGGGAGGGAAGGAAGGAGCACATTTCCATGCACCCATTAAACAGTGAGCACTGGTTCAGACACTGTCTGGTGAGAAGCCATGCTCCAAACTGAGGGCCATTATCAGATTAATGTGATTATCCTGTCTGGGGAAGGGAGCAGAACCAGGTTAGGCCATATTGTAAAAAGCATTTAAAAGAGACTGGGTCTAAGTGAAAAATGAAATGCAGCCAACAAATAATCGAACAGTGAGAGCAGCCAAACGAGCTCCCATTTATCTTTTCATTGGCATCTTTTGATTGTCTTCCTGGGCAGTTTCTCACTTTATATCAGCCTTTACTATGATCAAACAGTGTTAAATCAGCTTCTCTGGACTGGTGTGACATCAGAGTAACGATTTTGGAGAATGCCTTTAAGCTGGATTTGGCACAGTACTTGTCACTATGGAGTAGTATTATTGAAACATTGGGAATTTTGTTATAATCCTTCTTCTGCCGTTCAAACTCTTATAGATTCCTCTTTGAAATTATTTTTTCCAGAGCTAATTTCACCGGGGATACAAAAAGGTTACATCAAACTTGGGTTTGCACAGCAAAAAGTTCTCGATGCCTTTGCACAAAACCCAAGTTCTTCAGCCTTTAAAAATAAAATTATATTGAAAAGTAAACCGCAATCATTTAATATACAAATATGGGAACTTAGTAACATATACAAGTGCTGCTGTACTACTACTGTTTTTTGTTGGCCAAAGATGACATCATGCTTCAAACCAGCCAAAATTCACGTCCTGAATTTTTCTGCACATGAATAAAGCCGATGAACTGGAGATGGTACTGACTTGTGTGAACTGAGTCCCGCAGGATCGGGACACCAATGTTGGTTTTAACAGGAAAGGGAATTAAAAAAAAAAAAAAAAGACTGTTTAACACTCTCCAGATGGTGGTTTTGGAGCAAAACCTGACAGTTGGGTGTTTTAAACAGCGAGCGATCCCATGGCCGAGCAAACTTCCAAATCACTGGAGTTATTAAATGGGAATGCAGAGAACAACCCCGCACACCCCCAGACTTCGCTCTCCCGCCCCAGATGTGCCAAAATAAAGCGGTTGATAAAGGCCCCTTCGAAGCCTCCCCGGGCCGCTGCTCCCGCCGCCCTCGGGGATCCCCCGCCCGCCCCTCGGGAGGGCTCGAACCGCGGCGGCGCCTCGGGGGAGGGTTTGTACCGCCGGGACCCCCGCGCCGGGAGGGGAAGAGCCCGAAGCCGCGTCCTCCTCCCCCGCCCCGGGCTGTGAGGGGGGCGCGGGGCCGCCCCTTTCCCGCCTTCCCTCCCGGTACCTCATGAGGCGCCCGTCGCCTCCCGCCCGCCGCCCGCCGCCATCGCCGGGGCCCAGGGGGTGGGAGGAAGAGGAGGAGCCGTGAGGGGAGGAGGAGAAGGAAGAAGAGGAAGAGAAGGAAGAAGAAGAAGAGGAGGAGGAAGGCTCCGAGCTGGGCGTTGCTCTGGCAACGTCGGGGCCTTCGCCCCGCCATGGCCCGTGAGGGGAGGGGGGGGACTCCCCTCAGGCGCAGCCCCGCCAAAATGTATGGGGCGGGAGGTTCCTGCCGAATTTTATCGAAAGCTTCAGTTAAAATTAACCTGCGAAGGCTGTAATAAGGAAGGAAATTAAGGGATGTGTGTATCTATATAAATATACGTGTGCTGCGGTGGCTCGTTGGCGGCGATTAGGGAAGTCCTGCTGTCTGGAAATTGGCTTTGCCTCCCAGGAAACCTGAGGGGAGCGCTGCCCTAGTTAATGCTGCGGGAGCTCTCTGGAGAGGCTCGAAATGAAATGGATACAGGGGGTTATTTTTCGTTCGAAATATGCTCTTGAATAAATTAGTTTTGCGTCCAGAAATGGCATCTGTTTTCCTTGGCTCGGGTGTTTTTCTTAGGAGTGTTTAGGTATGCAGCTCACACGGGAAGCGGGGCTAATATCTGAGCAGCTTTGGATATCGGTGCTGTGCTGTGTTAGAACAGAAATGCTGCTTTAATTCAAAAGTTTAAATACAGAAATGCTGTGGGGTCAGTAACCCCGGAAGGGGGAAAGGACGGGCACTTAAAACATAGAACTCATGAGGTGAGAAACTAAGTGTTTTATAAGAGTTAAGTGGCCTGATGTTCAGTGACACCATCTGACAACGAACCTTCTCTTTTATTTTCAAGGAAGTAGCTGAAAACACTGGATGAACCTCTGTTTCTCCTGGAGGTAGGTTTCAAGGAGGCATCTGCAGCAATTTGGTCTACTTTTGTGATGTTTTTGGAAGCTGTGCCTAGAATTTCTCATCTGGATGTTTCAGGCCTTGTATCCTCTGCGTTCCACTCGGGCTGTGGCTGATGGCCTGGAAGAAACCTGGGCCGGTTATTACAGATACACTTAATATTAAACAAACAATTAAACAAAAGTGGGCCCCCTGAACTCAGAAGACCTTCTAATTTGTGTAAGTCTTCTGCCTAATTATCACAATGCTCAGTAGCAGCAGCAATGCAGGTTTCAGATGCTTGGCTGGAAGCACTCGAAGAATTACATGGCCATGTCCCCATCCTTCCAAGGATAACACAGACCTGTTGTGTTTGGCTTCTGCTGTGCCATATTGTTCATTCTCCCACTCTTTGCTCAGTCAGTCACTCACAGCGTGTTTGGATTGTGAAGGACAACGTGAAAAAATCTCAATTTGATTCTCAAATCAGGAAAAGCAATTATAAATCTTTTTTATTTTTAAATAGTATATTTTATGGTTGGAAATTATGCATGCCTTCTGTACACCGCTTGGAAGGGTATAAATATAAAAGATTTCTTCAGCTGTTTCTTTTTTGTAATTATAAAATGCATTAAAGTACAAATGTAGCTCTAAGTCAGCGTTGTCCTCAAACTGCTTTTCATTGTTACATGGACTGGAAATATGAAATTAATTCGTGGCAGCTTATTAATCAATAATGTTTGCTCATGCAGGTCACTTGCTGATTTATCTCCAGTTCACAGCTCGTTAGAAGGTATGTAACTCTTCAGAGATGATGTTATTTAACAGGTGTGTTTTCCTGGTGCTACTAATGACCTCTGGATTTAGTAACTCCTGTCACAAGAAAGATTTCAGAGATTATTCACATAAAATTGGAAGTCTTTTCCCATGGGTATCGCACACGTTGGCTCGTGGGATACCCAGTAATAAATTTACCAATCTGTATTTGGATTCCACTCCCACCAATGAATTTCACAGAGTTGGCTGGGTCAGTGTCCAGGCACGTTTTCAGGTGTAGATACACTCAGACATAAGTATCCCAGATTTTCTCACCCTCCCAGCTACAAGTGGTACCTCCTTGATCGGTGCAATCAGCAGGTTTGCTCAGTGTGTACCTGCTTTCCCTGTGGTTCTTCAGTGCATGAGGACATTGGAATAAACACTCATCCTTGTGGAATTCTGCCCTGGCAGCTCAGTACTTCCCTCTGCAATAATTCCTCTCTACTAAAAGTTGCTGAGAGCTTTTTCTGTATTAGAAGAAAATATTTTGTATCCTAATACCCATTCCTGGAGGAGCTCTTGCACAAATCTTCCTGCAGGGCAGGTTGAGGGATTGCAATCTGCATCTTTTGTATCACCTTTTTTTTTCAGCAGGAGGTGTGGAAGGAACTGGTGCTTTAAAATGAGATGTACAGGATACATCTGTGGTGAGATTTAAAGGAGCTGATCTCAGATACACGGAGAGCAATTTTAGTTAATGATATGACAAAAAGTTGTGGGTTTTTTTGTAAGAGTCTGTAGAATAGCAGAATGTCCTGAATATTCAAAGGCTTTATTGGTTGTCTTCATTTTACCCAAAATGTTGCTTGAGTATGGAAGACTTTTGCAAAACTACGAGAGTTTAAATTGTTTGATGGATTTGAAAGTCTTGCCAAGAGGCTCAAATAACCTTTAAAATTTGAATATTTCCTGAGCTCTGAATGCTCAGTCTTTTTTTCAAACTAACTCCCTGCAACTACCCAACCCTTCCTTCAGTTTGTATTTCGAGCACGAGAAAACAGCTCCTGTGCTCCCAAATCTGAGGGACTGCAGGAGAAAGACCTTATAAATCTTATTATTTATTCTGAAAACTCACCCCGGGGCTGATGGCAGAGGAGCTGAATTTCGCTCCTGAACTCTGATCCTGGGAGCTTTGTCAAGGAGACTCGCGAGGAATTTGAACCAGATATTTTTACATTGCAGTGACATCACCCTGTTCCCTGAGGTTTCCAGAAATCTTACGAGCTCTCAGTGTGCTCGTTCCTGTTAAGTCATTCTAAACTGAGAGTCGTTCCACCGCAATGGTGTCATAGAATCGTTACAAAACTGGTGAATTAGATCCCGGAGTCTTGTTTATTTTTACACAGATAAAGCCTTGAATGAGAACGAGCCAGCGGAGCCACAAAGGGCAGCTGCAGTTTTTGCTCCCTGCACAGGAGGGTGCTCAGCTCCTGTCTTTATCTGCAGCAAGGAGCCGTTCCCGTGGTCATTAGATCGAAGTGGAGAAGCCGTTTTCTGATCTGGTCTTTTCTTGCAGTGACGTTGAAGGATCTGTTTAAATACAGCGGCTCGGAAAATATTCAGCTGTTACAGAATTTTCGGAGGTGTGTGTTAATTGCTCCTAAACACCATCGCGGGGGTATTTAGGTCAGAAGATGGAATGATCATGACGTTGGGATCCTCTAATGGGTGCCCTTAAAGGTGCCAGAATTTTCAATAGAATCTTTGAAGTTTCTCAAAATTAGGCTTTTCCCAGTCTGATGTGTTAATCAGAATGTGTGAATCCTTCACCTGAACAAGGAATTCTCCTGTGTGTAAACATGAGTGGATTTACCAGGAAGGAGTAGATAAGCTTGTTAATTTATATTCCATCTGTAGTACCTGCTAAGAGTTATAGCCTTAATTATTCTTTATTTGCCTTGGTAAATCATAGAGTTGTAGAATATCCCGAGTTGGAAGGAACCCACCAGGATCATCAAAGTCCAGTTCCTGCACAAAACAGCCCCGAGAATCCCACTGTGTGTGTGAGATTTAGTAACATATTTTAGGTTAAACTCCAAATTAGCATTCTAACATAACCCATAAAATGGAATTTCACTGACTTACTGTTGACCTTTTTAGAGATGAGTTAAACAGGAGTCTTGGGTGTTGTTTCCTGGGCAGATCTTAGTGAAGTGAGTTAACATGTTCTGTCTGAAATCAATTTGCTAAACCTCTGTCTTGTAGGAGGCCAGAATATTCCAGCTCTCTGGATGCACATCCAGTTTAATTGCTAAGAAAAGACAATTTTGATTTTTAAAAAGCACTGCCATTGTAGACAGATTTCCAGGTGTTTCCTTCCAGACCTTTCAGGATAGATACAAACTCAGAAATGTAGGAGGCAAAATTTTGTTTGTCGTGTTGAAGGGGATCCATCCCATTCCCGTCAGCAAATAAATATTTGCTTAATTTCAGGCAATATTTACCTCAGTGGTCAATAAAACTTGTCTTGCACTTCACAGAGTTAATATTTACTTGCTGGGTTTAGTTTGGTGACAATATTTAAAATTCTCTGGGGGGCTTTTTTACTTCTTTTCTAACAAAAAGAGATTTTGTATTAACAAAGATGTGTTAGTGTATTAGGAAGTGTTATCCATGGGTGAGACCATGTTTGACATGTAATAAGATTATCCAGATTAGGTCTATAACACTTTACAAGTATGGAAAGGATTTTTTTTGTTTGTTTAAGGGTTAAATGACTAAATATATTACCAGCTTTAAAAATAATTGTTTGTGTCAGTTATGCCTACATACAGGTCATCAGTAAAACTTAATGAGCTGGAGAGGAGACCCTGATGTGTTTATAATTTATGGAATTATGGCCATTCCCTACAGAATTTGTAGGATGTGTATCACACAGAAATGGGTGTCAATAATTTTATCAGGGTTAAAATCAGGGATAGATTTTTCCTTTGACCTCAACAGCACCAAGCCTGTTTTTCCAGACATTCCTGAGGCTCTCAGTGTTGTCTGCAACAGCAACACTGAAAAATCAGTACCTGAGTGATGCAAAAGTTGCTGATTTTGGATATCCTGTTACTGATATTATGGATATCCTGTGCCCCATAATTACTCCAAAATCGGGTGCAGACTGCAACAGCTTGGTGGAGAGGGTATAAAAATGAGGCTGGAAAAATTAGGATGCAGATACTAATTCAGAAGGCAGAGGTTTCTGGAAGGAAATTAGAGTGCTCCTCCTCCTAACTGGAAAATTAATTTTCTTTTGGGAAGCAAGCACAAATTTAGCCATTTTTTTTCAGTGAAGTCAGAGTAAGTGCAGCAGCCACACTGGGATGGTTCAGGAGGAAATCCACAGATGGATTTTAGGTCCTTTTAGTTTCCAAACATGGCACTTCATTTCCATGGATGAATTCCCCTCTCCCCCCTGCGTTTCATACCTGGATCATAGTTGGCTCTGTGCTTTGTTTTTCAGGGGTTTAGGTGTATTAGAACTTGGTACATGACAGTGTGAAGGGTTTGACTTCCAACCTACTCGAGGCTTTGTCTGCAGGATCTGGTAAGAGACACCTCCAGCTCCTTGGTGTCTGCTCAGAGGAGATAACAGGGCTGCTTGTTCAGCAACACGTGTTATCTTTGCTGTCATGTCCACTGCTCTTGCAGGGGGGCACTTAAACCCAGGGGAGCAGCAGCTGTTTGCACCTATGTCACAAAAAAACCCTAAAGATTCTGTTCTTTAAATGGTGATTTTATGATTGATACAGTTAGAGACAAGGGTAAGGCTGTTTAAATTCAATTAATCTCATGGCCTGAGCCTTCAGCTGAACTGAAGCTGCTGAACTAAATCACAGCACACCCATATCCCTCAAACTGTCAAATAAAACAGCTGTTTATGATAATGATTATCTTAATTTAAGAGTTCCAGCTCATGCACTACTTCTCTTCATTAATAGAAAGAATTAATGGAAGAATACTTACAAAAGTACTTATTGCTTAAGCGAGAACTACTAATGAAGTGAAACACTTGGAATTCATCTTGGACTCGTTTTACCTTCCTCATACTTTCAGAAGACATTATAGCAATTAAACATGTTAATTGTTAATTGCATGGTTCAAAGTCTGGTGTTGTCCTCCCTGTTTCCAGTAGGAAATGTCTGTCCCTCAGTGTCACCCAGGGCTCTGCTGCTCACACATCAAAAATACAACCCAAAAGTTTGCTGGGGGTTGTTCAAGCTCCATTTGACAGGCACATTTATATTGATGTGGCAGCTGAAATATGTGAAAATCATAGGTGAAAACTGTAGGACTTGATAGTCTGAAGTTAGGCAAGAAATCCAAAGATAAATACCAAATAAAAAGCTTTTTTTTGAGTGATGCAGAAAGTCCGAGTAACTGGGAGACCTGAGCACGTCTGGTGAAAAACAGGTTTTGTGACGTGTGGAAATAAGGATCTGGATGTGTAACTTCAGGCATTTGGACTTGGAAAATTTGGTCTCCCACTGTAATTTCTGCTTTTGATAGAAGTTCATCACACCACACTGCTTGGGGGATGTGTGTTTGTGTTTAGAAATCTTTACAGTTGTAGTTTGGAGGGTAGATTCCTAGAGAACATCAAATGGAGACGTGTGAGCAGGAGCTGTGGGCAAGGGCCACGTGCTTGGGTGTGTCCTGAGCACTGTGATTCCTTCCAGCTCAGTTGAAATCTCTGGAATGCATCCCAGCAGCTGAGCAGAGTTTGTCCTGTATTTCTGTATGCAACAGAATGTTATTTTTTTTCCTTTTAACACCTAAGAAAATTTAAAACACTACAGCAAAACGTCTGAGAGTCCTGCCCAGGGTCCCTCAGGTGCCCATCTACCAGAGGAAGACAAGAGGGCAGCTAAAAGGCATTGAGCAAGGAAATCCTGGCTGACAGAAATACTCTGTGTGTCATTGTTTAGACCATGACACAGTAATTGTTCTCTATCATGCAGAAGTGCCACAGTGCTAAAATATAATTGGAAAATGCATTTCTCTTTGATCTCTGATTTGAACCTTTCCATAGGTCAGGTATTTGTCTCCCCACGTGTTCACGTGGCTGTTTCACAGGTGCATTAACTCCTGTCTGTCACCCAATTTATTGCAATGTAAATATGGTAAATTAATAATTTTGCCCAATATTGGCTTAACATTCGTTTTCCAACTGCGAAAGTCAATGGGAAATAAATCTGGGAGAGGATTGGTGAAGTGAAAGATGCAGGATTGTGGAATAAGTGAGTTGCTGGAGAATAACTTCTGCTTGTATGTACCTTAATTAGTTATGTGAAAATATAATGATTTTTTTTCCACAGTTATAAAGTAAACTGTGGATTGATGTCTCCTGTAATAGTGGGAAGTGGGAAGAAAGCTCAAGAATCTGGACCATTGCTTTCACCATCTCCTGTCACTACACTGAGTTTTGTTAACTCTGGTTTTTAAGTTCCAAAGAAATATTTCCTCACCTTTATTTTACCAAGACTCTTTTTAGCAACCCACTGAAATTTTTGGACCTTTATCAGTTTTTCAGTACAGCTTGGAAATCATTTCTTCCCTCTTTATTCTAACAGCAGGAAAATCCCAGCTTTGCTTCCTATGGAGTCGGCAGGGAAGGATAAATCAGGAAGAGTGAGGAATTCTTACTGGTGCTGTTGTCTCTCCTGACAGGAGAGCAGAGCCACAGAGGAGGAAACAGCATCAACATTCTCCACAAAGCAGAGAAAATAGGTGCAGGCAAGTATTTTAAATTGAACTCTAATGAAATTATTGTTTATGGCCCAGCTTCTCCCTTCCATCCAGAATGTGTCATTTAGGTGATTGGGCCAGCAGGTGCAAACATAATTGAATCCAGGGAAATAAATAAGGAGGGAGGCTGGGGATTGTTTGCTAAAAAGAAGACATCTAGTTTACTAATTAGGAGGATTTATAGGATGCTGCACTTAAAATAGATGATTATTGATGGCTCATCTTAATCATGAGAGTTACCCCGTGGTTGCAGTTTGCTGCAGCCTCGGGGGGGGGGGGGGGGGGGGGGATGGCACAGCCAGGGGTGGGACCTGGGGCTCATCCCTCACCTGCAGGGGCTCCAGAACCTCGGGGACTCGGGGCTGCCCCACCCCTGGAAGTGTCCAAGGCTGTTGGATGGGGCTTGGAGCAGCCTGGGCTAGTGGAAGGTGTCCCTGCCCAAACCATCCCATGATTCTGTGGGAGCAAGAACCAGGAACACAGACCCTCTGCACTGGACACTGTTGTTTTCACCTGGAAACTTTATGAAAAGCTACACAGAAACAATGTTATTATCTCAGAGAGGAGGTATTAAGAGATGCCTGTGTTACATCTGTCTTTAAATCAGTTACAAAGAGGAAAGAAGTTGGAATTCTTAACTAGAGAAAACTCAGATGGAGGTTCTTTTGAAAGTCTCATCTCTCTAAGTAGCAATCTAAAGGTATTTTAATGGAAATCAGAGGTAGAGATTAAACCCAAAATATTTGTCAGTGGACACTGCTGAAGTGCAAGGTAAATAATTTTAATTATTTATTCCTTTTAAAGGAAGTAGTGATGATAACTCTGGAATTTAGGTCAGTATAATTTCTCCTTATTTTAATGCTCACAGCTCTCTCAGTTACTGGTGAGCTCATCACAGAAGCCATGGATGAATTCCACATTTCCCATGCCCTTATCTAAGTCATTTCTCCTTTCTGCACTTTGGAATGATTTGAATATGAAGTATATCAGGAGAACAGAGTTGTTTTCTCCTCTGCAGCAGATCTATTCCTCACAAAGAGTAACAAGCAGCCAGAGCGAATTACCATGGAGGAGATTGCAGCTGAGCTTGGAAATATTATTTTGAGAGACTTACATTTCCTTCTGAAAGGAAAGAGCATTAAGGGATATTTTGAAAATGTAGAAAGGGAATAATAGCAAAAAAAAAAAAAATCTCCCCAAGATAAATTTGGCTCAGCAGCCTTTTTGCTATTTCGTGTCTAACATTCATTTTGGAGATGTATCAGTCACATCAAGCTGAGGCCACTTTAGTTTTATGTGCCTGGTAAAAGGGAGTTGATTCACAAGGATCTGGTCCATTCCCTTCTGTCACCTCATATTTCTGTTTCTGTGTCTGCACATTATTTCTACCAACCAAATACATTTTATATATATATATATATTTATTTATTTTTTTACAGTTTGGAGGAAAATAAATGGAAGTTTCCAAGTAAATATTTTTATATTCATTCTCATGCCTTAGGTTGTTCTACAGAGCTTCTGTATTGCATATTCCTCCAAGTAATTCCTGCTGATAAAATGCACTGCTGGAGCAAAATAGGGAATTAAAATTTAGATTGGAAATGGGTTTGTTTGGTATTTCAGAGGGTTCTGATTTAAGGTTTTCTTATGCCCAGCAACAAATAAATGAATACACAAGGAGTGAGGCAGCCATGCACTTCAGGGCTGGGGCAGCAGGAGCTATGGAATAAGAGGAATAAGAGGATCCTTTAATACAGAACACTGCATTTGGCAGGGCTGGTCTGAACAGGGGCTTATAATCCCTCAGGAGACTGGATTTTTCTGGATTTGGTGGATTTGGTAGGAACCAGTAGATCTAGAGGTGTCTTGATGTATTTGCCATTCCTCAGTTTCCTCAGGAAGTGCAGCCACATCACTTTGCTCCTAAAAGATTGATGTGTCCCATGGACAATCCAACAAAATTATGGTGGTTTGCTTATGATTCCATTGCAGAATTACCCAGCTTTTGTGGATTTTGTATTTGAGTCAGTCTTTAGTGTTTGTTCTACCTCTTTTTTGTGTGTTTGTGTTTAATGCAGCTGGAAGTTATTCTGGAAAACGGGGAAGTCGGAATCCTTAGAGGAGCTGCCAACGTGCATTTGCCTGAGTTCCTTCAGCAGTGGGGAAGAGAGGGAGAATTCCAGACACGTCATCCTGATTTCACAGGCCTGCAGAGATGTCCAGAGTGGCCTGATCCATCTGTGGGAGGTAATAAATAGCCCTGTGCTTTGTTACACATATGTGTGTGCTCTGTCCATGCAATCCTTGTAATCCGTGGATCCTCTGGATCTGCCTGGACAAACACGTCCAGTTTTGGAACTGGAGAGCTCCAAAGAGCTCTTATGATTGGAAAAACAGGCAGTGGCAGTTGCAGCTGGAATCACCCAGTGCTCCTGGTTGTAGTGCAGGTACAGAACTTCCTCTCTAACCTTCCCCCAAACCAGAAAAATTATTGGATCTGGACATTCCTACTCCACTGACTGTTCAGAGACCATCCTTAGCTCGTGCCTGAGGTGTCCCTCCCAAAGATCCACGTTTTGCTGTGTTCACTCATCCTGAAGTGCCAAAGGAAGGAGGGGGAAATGGAAAGGGATTGTGATTTCGAAAGCAACCCCTGTGTCTGGGTTTCCAAACCAAGCTGGGGATGGTTTTGTCCTGGGTGTTGTTCACACTTCCCTGCTCTGACAGCCTTTTAGCTTTGTTGTTCAGTTCTGTGGGAGAGCGTTTCCCTGCCCAAGGGTTCCTGTGGCATCTCCTCAGCACAGGAATTGCCCCTTCCAGCTGCCCCCTACAACCCAAAGCCTCCTCAGGCAGCAAACCCACGTTCTCCTCGTTGTTGTTTCACACTGTGTACCCACAGGGGTCCTCCTGGGCTTAGCTCTAAAGGGATAATTATACTATTTAAATATTAAACATGAAAGTTCTTCTTTCATTGTTAAACCAATATTAAAGTAGGACAAAGCTGATTTACGGTTTAGGGTTTGCTCCAGAATCGCTGGTGTTGCAGCTGATGTCCTGTTCCAGCAACACTGGCACTGCCAGGAGGCACAGAAATGTAGATTTTAATCAAAAAACATTATTTGAGATACACTTCTGTTAAATTATAAATTAATCTTACCTTGTGGACTTCCAAGCTCTTAAAAAGGGCAAATGGCTGCAGCATCCTCTGAAACAATTCATACCCCCATTTTTTGTCATTCCAGCACCATGGAATTGAAAGTTGGGTGTCTTCCCCTCACAGATTGTTGTTTAATCACTATATATTAGCTTTCATTGCCCTTTTGATGTATTTAAGCTCATAAACCTCTCATTGACTAGATTGAATTTACCATGATGTTGTTACTTTTTACGAGTGGAATAAATCAATATCGGATCCGTTGGCTTTGCCCAGGATTGTTTATTTTAAGGGCTGTTTAAACTTTTGCTGAATGAGAATGGAAGGTTTGATGCCTCCAAATGAATCCTCAGAATCTGGGAATGCTGAGATCCCACCTGGCTCAACCAGCAGGTGCTGACCACGTGATCCAGAGGTACAAGGCTAATCCAATTTCCCACCATCCTTTGAAGTGGGATGTATTTTGCAGCATTCCCAATCTGTAACACTTAAATACTTGCAAATTACTTTATTATTGTAAGAGAAAGCTTTTCTTTCATTACTAGGGGATGTTCCAGAGTAAGATTAGTTTTTGTCACTGAAAATAGTCTTGAAAATATCTGTCTGATATTTCCATATATGTGTTTATACAGGAGGAAATAGTAGCTTACTTCATGTTGAAGCTGTAGTCCTCAAATAATCTGCACAAACCCTCTGATTTCATCTCTGAGTTTGAAGCACAGAAACACCACTGGGTTCATTTTTTCATGGAATTTTAGGAATGTGGTTCTGAGTTTGAAGCACAAAAACACCACTGGGTTCATTTTTTCATGGAATTTTAGGAATGTGGTTTCTTGGGCTTTTTTTTTTGCTAGTTTAATCATAATTAAAACTATACATTAAACAGGGGATGTTCCACATAACCAAGTGCTAAACTATGTCCAGTGGCTATAAAAACTTGGGAATACTTCCACCAGTGCAATCATGGGATAACAGCCTGGACTTGGTGCTTCTGGAGGTACCTGTTTGGACTCAGTGCTGCCCCTTTCTCCCCCATTATTTATGCATCTTATTATTGTATTAAGTAGCTAATTAAATCTGGCCAGGTTAACCTTTCTTGGTGATTAGAATTAGGCACCTCAGCCCCTGAAGAGCCAATCATTTTGGGAGGAACATCTTGTTCTTGTTTGAATAATTATCTGTGTTTACATTCACACAGCATTAATCACTTCAACCAGACATTTTTGGGGGAAGGAAAGGAGGGTGCCCAGGGCAGGTTTTCAAATGCTGGGTGCAGAAATTATAAAGGAGATACATTTCCCTTCATTTCTGCCAATGAGCAAAACGTTTTGAGTTAATAATCCAGAACTCAAAGTGCACAAAGAGCTGTGATTTGTTTTCCAATAACTTTAAAAGCCAAGTGCTCCAGGCTGACCCTCTGAACTGAGCCCTGTTTCCTCAGTGAGAATTCTTCAGCAGCAGCATTCCAATGTTTTCCTGCTGGAGTATTTGTCATTCTTTTCCAATTATTGCTGTTATTATTTTATAACTATTTGTCTTTGTTCTGTGATCTGTTCTTTTGTTGAACTCTAGTGAAAGCTTCTTGGTCTTTTTTCCCTGTCCTTCCCCTTGGTTTGAGATTTTCTGCCAACTCTTCTGCCCTAAAGCCTTTTTTTTTTCTTTCCCCTTTTTCTCCCTGCAGTTGCTGGATCTTGCCTGATACAACCATTGCCCTTATTGCTCATGTATCCCTAAACATGCTCCAGATATTGTGGCTTTTGTTTGGAAAGACCAAAAGGAGAGATGGCAAAGTGACCTTTTCTGTGCCCACCTTCCTTCAGAGGCTCAGGAGCTCCTAACTCTTTTTTTGGGAAAGACCCAATAGCTCAGCCAAAGATGTTTATGCTGAAGATTATTTAATTTTGAACATGAAATATTATTTATTTATTTATTTGTCTATCTCTTCATTTATTGCTTCTCAGGAACAAAGCTGTGGGATCACAGGAGATGTGGGAGCTCAGTGCTCCCTGGTCCAGAGAGCAAGTGGGATGGTGGGAATTATTAGAGAAGAAATAGAGGAAAACCACAAAAGGCTTCTTGATACCACTCTAAACCCATCCCATATCTGTGTGAGCACTCTGTGCCTCAAAACCATGTGTTAAACCAGCAAAAGCTGGAGAGAAGGGCAGAAAATGCTGAGATGTGGCAGAAGTGGTGAACATGAACCTTCCACAAAAGGCCTCCAAGTCGTTTGAAGATGTAACTTTGGTGCTGTTCCTTTGCTGATTCAAATGATCTTCTGTAAGTGATTTTATGATACATATCAATATTATGGTTATCAGCCTTCACAGTTAAAATAAGGCTCTTTTCTTTGGCAGGAGGAAGGCTGTACATGCAAATTCACATTGCTGATGCATTTCCACTGACTCTGCCCTTCTGTTCTGGCAGAATTAGGAAAAACTGTATTTTTTTGTGTCTTCTTTTATCTCTTTCTTTATGCATCGCGTGTTCTTCGCTTCTCACTTTATTTCTGCTTTCATTATCTTTTTCTTTTTTTGTGGTCATGTTTGTGGCTGCATTTTTGCCTTTTATTTGTTCCCTTTGCCCTGAACTTTCTCCCAAATCCTTCAGTTTTCCTCTTTCTACCCAGACCTGAGCAGACACATTGAATCATCACTTTTCTCTCTTTCCATTTCCACTTCTTTTCCTCTTCCACTCCAGTATTTATCTTTTCCCCTTTCCCCCCTAATGTTACCATTTTCTCTCAGCGTTTGATGATGTTTTTCTTTCCCCTGAACTTTCCTCTCCTTTTCTTGATATTTTGGACCAGGAGAGACCAAACAGGGATCTTAATAGTGCAAAACTGGGTAGAAATTCCTTAAAAATAAGTGTCCTCACTGACCTGTGGCATGAGGGGGGGACCAGGAGAAAACAAATTCCTGTTTAGCAAATTTAACTTCTCCTAAAAATTCAGGCTCCATCCTTCCAGCTGGAAACCAGAGAATATAATGGGTTGTTACAAGCTGTTAAAATTTGAGACCGAGGAGGGGGAATAGGCTGAAGTTATTCCATGGATTGTTCTGTTCTTTGTGGGAGGCTGTTAAAATAAAGGAACAGTATAAAAGATGAATTATATACAACTTAATGTAAAGCTGTTTGAAGTCATTATGATATTTCTTCCTTGATTGTCTAACATTTGTGTACTTTTTAAAAGTTTCACATTTTTTGGTTCTTTCTGAACATTATGAAAATTGTACTGAGAGGAGTAAATTCATCTGCATAAAATTGACTGCAAAGAGCAATTAGTCCTTCATTAATATGCAAATTTGGTCCAGTGCAGATTCATCTATATATGAGGCTTAAATATGCAAGTCAGTCTTGCTGTGCAGAAGCCCAGATGCTTTTATTTACTTTGAAATTGAGGGATTTGGTTAATGATGTTGTTGACAGGAAAACTTGAATAAATTTGATGATCACCATCTTTCATATTAGACGAGGCCCATGGAAAAAAATTACCAAGTAAAATACCAATTTTATTTGGTAATTTCCTATTACCAATCTAGTAATAAAATGCAAGATACGAAGTAATAGAGTGAGATTTCCTAACGTAGTTATCCTGAGACTTAAACTGTTCCCCAAAGATAGAGCCATTTTTCTTAAACTTTGTTTTTCCAGAGGGTAAAGACATCTCCATAAGCTGTGTGAATAACATGCTGCCTAGAGATTTAATATTGGAAAGTTGGCTCTGTGGCTTGTTTCACTTGGGGAGAGTCTATAAACCTGGGAATGGAAAAGCAGGAGCTTTGGAAAGGGCTCTTCGTCATCTTCCCTGAATTGTCTGTGGAGTTTTCTCCAGAGCTGGTGGGAGGCCTTTGCTCTGACCCTCTGGAAGTGTCTGGACACGTGGCCAGTTATCTTTGGATCACCTAAGCTGGTTAATAAACATTTTCCTAAATACCTTTAAATCTTTACAGCCCTCAGAAATGAAACTTTGGGACTGTGATCGCTCCCCGTGGACTGGCTCAGAGAAGCCGGGGAAGGGTTTTTCCTTCCCATTAAATGGGATGTGCCCCATCCCTTTCCTCCTCTCCTGGCTCCTGCCCAGGGTGCTGTGGCTCTTTTGGCACATCCAGGATTGCCCTGGTTTTGTCCAGCAATGCCACAGCTCCATCACTCCCTCAGGTATGCACAGAATTCCCTTTGCATTTATCAGCCTTGTTTCCTCTCCAAGGTACCACAAGTTACTCCTCCTCAGATTTCTTTTTTTTCCTCTGTAATTCCTTCAGGCCTAAATTTACCTTTGGCTTAAACAACCTGGCCTTTGACTTCAATCATGCCCACATTTTCCTGGGCTAAATTTGGTCTTCTGTCTTGCCTGTGTGGGGCATTGACACTTCCAAACCAACAGAGAAATGGAGTTTAAATGGACTGAACTCTCCAGCAATTTATAAAGCTCTAGTTGGAACCACCCAAGGACAAGTTAATAGATTAGACCATTTGATTCCTCTGACTTCTTGGCACAGCTGGTTGGGATATAAATCCTCCCAACAGTGAACAGTTAGTTTCCAAATCCTTAATGTGCTGTAGGAGGCAAACAGTTTATACAGCCATGGGAAGGGGAGGAAAATTCAATGGGACAGGAAAATTGATGTGCTTGTTCACGTGGTCGTGCTGTGGTCCTGCAGGTGAATCCACAAGCAGGAAAACAGAGATGGAATTGAGGATTTGGGGGGAGCAGAGGAGGGATCTGTTAGTCTTGGAAAGGAATCTGTCCTTTCTACCCTCAGAATGAGGCACTGAGAGCTGTCAGAAGGCAGTTTGTTTGCAGCACTTGATGAGGTGACAAATTGATTAAAAGGTGAAACTTTAAAAACACAACATCTGCTCAGACTTAAATGGTCTTTGCCTGTGAGAACACTGGGTGGTTGGACAGTTTGTCGTGTTTTCCAGCACCATCCCCAGCAATCTTGGCTTTCTGATCTAGCTCCCAAAAGGAGACAATAGTCATTTTAAAATCTATCAACAACAGGCATCTCAGCACAACCTGAGGTTGTCTCCTATCAACTATGTAATCTTTATATTCTAGATTAACAAACACTTCAGCCTTGGAGTTTGTTAGTCCAAAATATATTTATTACCTCATGAATTCAAACCCCCTCCAGTTACCATCTAATTAAAGCACAGTTGTGTGCCTGCAATCTTTGGGGATGTATTAATAATGGAATTATCTCCTGAAACAGTAATTACACACTTTGTGCATTCTTTGCCACTCTTGTTGCAGTGTCTGTGTGATGAGTGGGTCACACAGGGCTCCATTGTTTTGAGCTCCTCCAAACTCTCTGTGTATCCAAGGATGAGCAGGATTGGATTTTTCCCCTCTTAGGAAAAAAAAAAAAGGGAGAAAAATTTATTCATTTTTGTACTTGGGAAGGGGAAGCACCAATGCCACTGTAGGAAGAGTTGTGAGACACGATTGTGCAAATGATTTTAGCTCCTGTTTTCTCCTCACTCTTCGAGGAGGTTGCTCACAGAGCAAAACCTCCCTGCAGGATCTGTTTTGTAAATCTGCCAAAAGGTGAAGACAAACACTTTATCTGCGAGGGAATATTCATTTATGGGGCTTCAGTGGTGACATAGATTTGAAAAAAGGAAAATAATCTTAAATCCTTCCTCAGGAGAGAGATTTACTCACAGTTCTATTCAGTGGTAAGTGTACTTATTATCCTCTAATTTCTGTATGTATTGGCTGTGTCTGGGCTCGTGCTTTATCAGGGTTGTCCTCCCAACTGCTACAATGGATTGTTTATGGGCAAGATTATTTTTCCTCAATTTTTTTTCCCCACTTACTACAGAATGAGGTGTTCTGATCCTGCCTGGAGAGCCCTTCCCTGCATGGAAAGAGGCACAGGAGGCCGCAGGGTTTGCACATTCCTTCCCTGGATTTTTGAATCCCTTATCTCTAGTTCAAGTACATCTGTTGAGCAAGAGTGTGAGCGTGTGATTCCTGTTGACACAGGCTCCTGCTCTACCTGACAGAAAGGGGGGTGTTATTCCCTTTGTACTTCCAGGTGCTGTATTCCAGAAGCTGCTGTTGTCAGGATCCATCTGTTGGTGGAATGTCCTGCTGTGGGTTGTCTTGCCTTTGGGATAACCTTTTTCCCTGCAGTGAAAGGTCAGGGTTAGGGTTGTGCTCGTTGTCTCAGTAAAAATGGTGTCTGGTACCACTTGGGACACTGTAGAGTGGAACATTTCCATTGTGTTAAATAAAAAACATCTGCAAAAGATTATGAGGTTGATGACACATTGTTCAAAGATCCATTATTATTATTAATATTATTATTACTATTAATATTATTATTACTATTAATATTATTATTATGACTTAGGGTTAATTACTGTTTTGTCAAAACTTCTTGATTTCAGAACTTTTGGCAGTCTAATATTTCTTGTGGCTGTGGATGACAGAGGTGTCTGTGTGTCCCCAGAATAGTTCCAGGTTGTGTCTTGCCTGTGCTGTCACACTATTTTGTTTGCCATTGGTGTCTGATTTGCAAACTCTCAAACTAGACACCTCTCTGATGTGTTTTTCCTGACGTGAATAAATTCACCTCAGAATACTCACAGAGGAAGAGATGTTTGTTGTCAAGCAATTATTTCAGATGAAACACAGAGAAGGGTGATATTACAGTCTGAGTTTTATTTAGCCACAGGCATGAATCTGAAGATGAATTCTGGGAATTTAGGGGAGGAAAAGGACAGCTTTTTATTTTCTTATTTTTTTTTTCTTTCTTGTCCTCTGTATTTTGCAGGGATTGCTTTGAGTCTGGGAGTTCTCAGCTCATGAAGAACTTCCTGGCTGAGGGGATAAAGACATTAAAGCCTTTGCCCACTCAGGGCAATTGCTCTGGAGACAAACACAGTTCAGAAAACAAACGTTCTGAGCTACCTGGAAGTTCTGGTTCACTAAACACATGAAGAGCCAGAGATCCTTCTGAACCTGCAAGTGAAATTTATTCTCAAGGTGATGCTCGAGCTCATTATCTGCTCCTCTTTCTAAATGTAAAGTAAGGAGTGAAAGGCCCAAGTATTCCATATATAACAGCTGACATGTTCCCTGCATTCCTGTGTTTGCCTAGGAAGTCATGGATAATCAATTTGATGTGCAAAATACACTGCAGGGATGAATTCTGAGCCACAGCACTTGCCATGCCTGTGCTGTTCTGAGAGACAGAAACTTCCAGGAAAGGAACACCAGTGAAAACCTTCCTGATCATTCTCCCATCAGGTTTTTTTTTCCAAGGATGTGTCTGGAGGTGGATTCTCTAGACAGTGTTTGGGTTTTTTCTACCCCTTGAGTGGCTGGTTCTGTGTGTGTCAGTTATTTTCTCACTGTTTTTCTTCCTGTATTAGAAATCAAAATTACTTCATCAGGGTATACATATATTTATATATATATATAAATAATCACTATAATCCCAACTAGGAAAAGCTAACCTGAAACATTTACTTTTCAGATTTATTATTTAAATATATGTTTGAAATAATTAAAACAATTCCCTACATGTATTACAAATAACTTCCCATCTTATTACTGTGGGGAAGCAGAACAGGCAGGAAGCAGCAGCAGACAGATGTGATTGTAACAGAGGTTCTCATTTAATTAATAATAGATTGGTTGTAATGAGACTTATGGTCTTCATAAACTCCTAGAATGTTTTTAACACAACCAAAGTAAGTAAGTTTAAAGTCTGATTTATTAGTCTTAACCCTCTCAGATAATTTTTTGCCTTGTTTATTTTCGAGGACAAACCCCAACATTTATCTTATTTTGAGAGATTTTCCCACAAACCAGAGTATCTACGGTTCTAGCAAGAAAAAAAAAGGGAAATTTGCATGGATAAAAAAAGATTGAGTAACAATCCTGATGGTGTGGAAAAACTGAGGTTACATTTAGTTCTGTATTAATCTATTCCTTTCTTGGAAATCCATATTTCCCCCACAACACCCCCCAGCATCCTCTAGACCGTCAAAATCTGGTCACAGCATTTCATACACTTTGGGGTATCCTTTCTCTGGAAAGAAACAGCTGGATATTTTTGTGTCACATTGTGCCCAGTCCACCTCTGTTGTTGTCATTTTAATTGCTGGGGCTGTTTTTTTTTTTTTTTTTTAAGTCCTCTACAGAAGGTCTTTGTAGTGACAAGCGAAGGGTTCACGCTTGGTAAGCAAACATAAAGAATTCTGCTGCTAATTGGAGAGGGAGCCATGCAGTTATGATTCCATCAACATTTAAGTTACATTGTTAAAGGACACATTTTTGTTGTTGTTGTGTTTATGTTGCCCCATAAAATTTTACTCGGGGTGGATTTGGTGGGGAAGGTTTTATAACTAATTCTGGGGCTCGGGAGGGAGGGGTAGAAGTTAAATTTTTCTAACCTGAATATACAGTGTTAAAGTTCAGAGTTTTATTGCTGGTTTGGTCTATTATAATTCTTAATTGCTGGTTTGTGAAAGTATGAAAATGGAAAGACTGGACAACCTCAAAGAAGCTCCCTTTACCCTGCCCTGAAGAACTGCAGCCACAGTGTTTCATGTGGAGGAAAAGCCTCCAGAAGCCACCACTTTCCCAAAGGAAGGAGGTTGTTATTCAGTAATTTGGTCTTTTGGGGTTTTCTCCCCAAGACACTCTCCCTGTTGTATCTATAGACCTCCCAGTTTCTAAAAGGACCTTGTGTCAGACCTTCCTTTTTTCATAAATTCCACTTCCATGCAATACTTGGCTATGGATTAATAGTTTTACAGTTATAAGCCCCAAAACTGTTTCCTATTAATGCTGATTTATTTTCTACTTACGTCTCTCTTCTCAGGTGGCAAAATATCTGGAGCCTCATCTTGAAGAGCCTTGGAAGGGCCAAAAAGGTTCTTCCTTTTCCAGGTCACTGCCAGGTTTTAGAAGATACAATTTTTCAGCATCTAAAGCAGGAAATCCCAGTTATTTTCCATGAGAAGAAGCACAGGGATGACAGGGCTTCCCCCCAGAACACTCCCTGGGTAATTGCTGAAGACATTCCAAGCCACTCTAACAAAGTGCACTGTCTGCCAGTCATTCTGTTCTCCTTGGAAGACCATCTGTTGCACTTCAAATATGTAAAGGTCTGCTATCATTTATTGCTCCAAACAAATCCACTCCTTTGTCTCATGGGCTGGAGCTCCTGAATGGGGACTAGAGGTGGTTTTGGTCACGGAGGGCAGGATATTCAGGAGATTCCCTTTTGTTGCTCTGTAAGTGAAAGGTGCTCACTCAGCTCAAATTTCAGAGCACAAACAGTGATTAAACTGACTTCAGTGCTTTTGAATAATTTCAATTTATTTGGCAACAAATCGTGAACAACAACAACAACAATCTGAACTGTAGTTTCTGTTAACTCAGCCAGAAGCACATTGTAAGATTTTTGCTTCTGGTGAACAAACCTTTCCATTGTAGTGGTATCCAGACTTGATACACACTGACATTTGAATTAACATTATGTTATTTTAACTAAATTGCTTAATTAGCTTATTTGTGGCTGAAACTAGTGATTCAAAGAAACTTTCAGCAGTGAAAAATAGGGTCAGCAGCTCAAAATGCAAGAACCTTTCTTCTGGTAGGTAAACACATCCTTTACAGGGATGTAACACTTGCCTGTACAGTCTTTATTTATGAGTTAACTGGGATCCTTTCCATGAATTAAATGAGCAAGATCAGGCATTAAATGATGATTTCTCTTTGTTTTTCCTGCTGCAGATTTTAAAGAGGCTGTACAACCCCTCCTCTCAGATTGGAGAACATAAGCATTGTATTTTCACAGCAGAGAAGTTCTGTTCAGAGATTTCCAGCCAGGGAAACACATAACAATTTCTGTGTGATTAGGGAGTGGTCCTGTCTTTTTCCCTTTTTTTTTTCCTCTGTCCCTTCTCCTCCCTGCATAGCAGTTAATGTTCTGGTCAGAAGGAATAATATGTTAGATCTTGAATGTCAGTAGCCCCAGAGATTCTGACAAGACTATTCATGTGCATTCATACGTCTTAACCAAAGCTGACACTAAAGAGAGCAAGAATCCTCATATTCCTCTTTTTATTGCTGTGCATTAAACTCAAATCTTCTCTTGGAGACCTCTGCTGAAAAATGACATATTCCCCATTTGAAAAAGGCTTTCTGGCAGGGTCTAAACAAAGCAGCTGGACATCAACGTGGCCCAGGGCAGAAAGCTCCCACAGTTTGGTTTACACCCCAGTTATGGACACCTACCAAATGCTGGGAGATAAATCCTGATGGGAAACAAACAGTAGTGTTTTTGTTGTAATTTTTATAATTTAAAAATTAACTGGTCTTCTAATTTCTTGAAATCTTACAGGAATGCTTGGATTCTGGTAACCTGAGGTGGATGTTTTCTGAGAAACACCCCCTGTGTGAATGCTCTGCTCTCCCATTTCCCCCAGACATGTTTTACACATACTTCTAGCACAGTTTACAGCACGTGTCTGGGTAATTTTGCAGTGATCTGATCGTGTTGTTAAAGCCAGGTAGGCAATTTTTACAGCAATGATAGTTTTAATCTTCTTTTTTATAATTGTTTGGTAGCAGTGACTAACACAGCCTTGGTGGCTCTGGGCACCTCGCCATTCTTAGGTAGTTTAATTTGTTAAAAATTATCTTCCCTCCCACCCAAATCCCCTTGAAACCACTTGGAGAGGAGAAGTGTTGAACAGTTGCCAATAATAAGTCCTGCTGAGACCTCTGTATCCTCCTGATAGAACTGTTGGTGCCAACCAGGGACTGACTGGCACAGGTTTGAACTCTCCACTGCTTGATGTATCTGCCTCACATGGGCCAATTACAACAATTCCCACCTCTGGAGCTGGAGTCGAAGCCCTTGGTCTTCCCTTCATACCTCAGGTTGTTGGCAATGTGTTCAGTCCTGCAATCTCAGTTTTCTCTGAATAATTAAGTGGAACATAAATACTTTGAAAAAGTAGGAGAGAGTCTGAATGGAAATCAAAGGCTGAATAATATCATTGTTTTTCATGTTGCTGTTGTTAAGCTGCATTTCTTTCCATTTATTCTTTATTTCTAAAAGGCAGCATCTTCTTTTAAGTTTTTTACAGAGATTCACCAGAAGGTGCTGTAGTCCATTGGCTGTTATATTCAACAGTATTTTTTAATGTGAATGAAAGAGCAATAGGAATTCCTACTTTTTTTTTTTTTTAATGGGTTTAAAAATATAAATATTCCTCTCAAAATAAATACTTTTGACCAAAGTGGAAAATCATCCATCCTTTACTCCTTTTGGCTGGATGTTTCCATAAGAAATAGGGATATAACACCAGGATGAGAGACTGGCATTAACTACTGAGTTCCTGACAATTCCATTGGTTTCAATCTGATGCAACAGGGACCATCTTGCCCTTGCCCCTGTTGTCTTTCCAGGAGAGTAGTTAATTTTTAAATTGGAGCAGCTGCAGGTTTTTTTTAACCAGTGAAGTTTCTATTACACAAAGATAAACCGAAGATTGAGCACAAACTGACTTGCCTGTAGCTTTCCTAATATGATTGCACTGCACAGTGTAGATACTAAAATTTATATTAAAAATTCTCCATGCAGTTTCCCTCTAGGGAGAGGAAGAGGGAAGGGAAAGGCTACATGTGACAGATGCTAATTATGCAGCTTAATGCACTTCTGGAAGTTGCAGAGATGAGAACTCTGTAAAAACCCATCCACAAAACAAAGCCTATTTTCAACAGCGTTTTTTTCCACAATGCTTTGTTTTCATCTGCCTCCTCCCTGTTTTCCAGGAGGCTTTATTTCCCAAAGAGCACGTACAGTATTCAAAGGGCAAGTGATGTCCAAGGTCCAAAATTTTCCAAGCATGGATGTGAGTGTTCTCCATCGTGTCTTCCTGCTCTGTACATGGAATTGGGAAAGCTGGTGGCTCCCAGTCAGGACAGGTGTGACTTAAAAATTCTCTAGTTGATGTGTTAGTTTTCTTTCCTCTTTTGTTGATGTTTTAGTAATATTTGGGTTTACTGGGAAAACTGTGTTCTGCACCTGACTGTGCTGGGATCCTGTAGAAGGATTTATTGTGGTGAATATGTCAGGCCCAATGAACCAGATCCCAAACTGAGACACACAGGATGGGTTCCTCCAATCTGGGTGGTGAATCAGTGCCAAAGCCAGTGTTAGACACTGATCTTCTCTCCCAGACATTGAGCTGTGCTGTTTGAGGCTAAAGAAATGGATTTCCAGCCAGGGAAAACTTGATGTCATCCTGAAATCAATGGGGAAACTCAAAAGCACCTCAAGGCCACGCTGAGCCATCGTCCTGGATTTCATTCCCTCTACCAAATCCCAGGATTCTTTTCCCTCTTAGAGGTAAAACCACACCAGCTCTTGTGTATTAATGCCAAATGCTGCTTTCTTTTATTTCCTTCAAAGCCTGGGATTGCTCCTTCAGGACTGGTGACTTCCCAACCTCTCTCCACGAGGGACGATAATCGCGCTGACGACGGCAGCGGCGCCGGAACTTCCGAGGTCTTGGTGTGGCCCTGGGCAGCCTTGGAGGAGCATGTTTGGAATGAGTCCTCCTCTTGCCATGGTCCTCATGTGCAGCCACCACGGAGAAAACCATCTGTTCCCCTCGGAAGGGGGTTTGGTTCCCCATGCCCTCCCCCGATCCCACTCCGTCCCCAGCTGCCGTGTTTCACTGAGCAGCGAGGGAACGAATCCCCGGCGTTAAAAATACTCTGGGTCTATTTAGATGAAAAGAAGAATCTTGCTTGCCTACACTGCCATGCAAAAATAGGCTCAGTGTGAGTAAATCTTCAAAGTTTCTTTCGGTGAAAATACCCAGCCTGGCTTTTTTTTTTTTTTTTTTTTTTTAACTTATATGATAAGTTTATTTATAGAGTGTCCTTCTTTCCTCCTACTCCATCAAGACATTTGCAGGAGGTTGTCGCTCGTCTTGTTCAGGAGTCCTGAAATAATTTGCAGGGCCTTTGAAACATCATCATGTTGCACAGTTGTGATGCATCGTGCTGCTGTTGCACCAACGTATCATATTTTAGTGTGAATGTCACGTTAACTGAGACATTCAGGCCTTCCTTTTACTCCAGGTGCCTTACACTGGTTTGTATTTTCATTTTAACTCCGCAGTCAAAAAATTCTGTGTATATATAGTAACTTAAAATTTTCCATTCTACACACAAGGCATTGCATAGAAAATTAATGTGTAATATGAGAAGATTAACAGGATGCATATACTTTCCAAATATCTCTTAAAAATAGCTTTCACTGTCACTGTAGCATCTTAATTCTGAATAATCTCACAGTCCTTCTGCAAATCTGTGCATATAGTAACAGAGTAACCACCTACTTCATCCTCTTGAACTGCACAATATGTATCTGGGCATGAAAAAAACCTTCATTTTGGAGTATGTTCTGCTTTGGCAGAGAGGATGGCTGTGGGACTAGTGAGAGCACTAATGCCTGCATTAAATATTAATGCCAGCATTCCCAATACCTGCCTATCTTTTTAAAAAGGCTCCAAGATTCTGAGTGTGGAATTTGCTCCACAGTGCAAAGCACCAGCACAAATCTTGGGAAGCCTCTGCCAAGAGGTGGAAGTTGTGGAAAGGGAGCCAAGGTGGGTGCTCCCTGTGCCCATGGGACACTCTATGCCTGGACTTTGGCCCAGCACTGCCTCGAGATGATACCCAGGAGTGGATCCTGATGGGATCGGGGGCCAGGAGCCTGGGGATAAATATGTGAAGGAGAGTTCTAAGAAGATGGACCAGGTTGGTGACAACCACTAGGACACGAGGGAATGGGCACAAACTGATGCCCAGGAAGTTCCACCTGAACATGAGGAAGAACTTCCCTGTGCAGTGACCGAGCACTGGAACACACTGCCCAGAGAGGGTGTGGAGTCTCCATGACCAGAGATATTCCAGCTGTAACCCTGTGCCATGTGCTCTGGGATGACCCTCCTTGAGCAGGGAGGTGGGACCAGATGATTGACAGGAAGCTGAACATGAGCCAGAGCGTGCCCAGGTGGCCAAAGAAGGCCAATGGCATCCTGGCCTGGATCAGGAACAGTGGCAGCAGGAGCAGGGAAGTGATTCTGCCCCTGGACTCAGCACTGGTGAGGCCACACCTCAAGTGCTGTGCCCAGTTCTGGGCCCCTCAGTTTGGGGAGGGTGTTGAGGGGCTGGAGCAGGTCCAGAGAAGGGCAATGAGGCTGAGGAAGGGACTGGAGCACGAGTCCTGTGAGGAGAGGCTGAGGGAGCTGGGGGTGTTCAGCCTGGAGAAGAGGAGGCTCAGGGGAGACCTTCTCACTCTCTACGACTCCCTGAAAGGAAGGGGCAGCGAGGGGGGGAGTTGGGCTCTGCTCCCAGGCAATAGGACAAGAAGGCACAGTTGTAAGCTGTGCCAGGAGAGGTTTAGGTTGGACATTAGGAAGAAATTCTTCACAGAGAGAGTGATCAGACATGGGAATGGGCTGCCCAGGGAGGTAGAGTCACCGTCCCTGTTGGTGTATAAGCAGAGCCTGGACGTGTCACTCAGTGCCATGGTCTGGGTGACAAGGTGCTGCTAGGTCAAAGATTGGACTCGATGATCTCAGAGGTCTTTTGATTCTGTGATTCCGTGATTCTGTGCCCCGCTGCGGCCGCTCCAACCCGGCCCACCCCGTGAGGAGCAGCGGGCCGGGCCGAGGCGGGACTCGAACCGGCGGCCCCGGTGTCTCCTCGCCATTCCCGCGGTGCCACCGCTAGATGGCGCCGGCCCAACGGGCAGGGCGGGGGCTCGGCAGCGCCGCGCGCTCCCCTGGCGGCCGCTGCGCGCCCCCGCCCCCGCCCCCCCCGCCGCCATGGCGGAGCGCGCCCACGTGACGGCGCGGCAGCCAATGGGAGCGCGGCAGGGGGGCCCCGGCCGCCGTCCCTGTGGCCGCCATTAAAGAAAAAGGGTCTCGGAATTACCCGGGAGCCGGAGCCGCTCCCGCCCCGGCCGTGCGGGACCCGCGCCCAGGGCTCCCGCCGCCACACGATGCCGCGGCCGGGCAGCCGCCGACAGAGGCACCGCTGAGGGGAGGGCGACGCGCCGCCGGGGGCTTCGCGGGCAGCGACTCCGCCAGCGGCAGCAGCAGCGGCAGCAGCAGCGGCGGCCGCCGCGTCCCTGTGTGTGTCGGCGGCGCCGGGAATTGCGGGGCTCCGACCCCCTCGGGGCTGAGCAGAGCCCGGGGCTCGGCCGCCGCCTCCCCGCCCTGCCCGGGAGCCCCGGGGAGGGGGCCCCTCCGCCCGCCGCCCCCGCGGGACCCGCACCTGAGGAGAGCGGGGGGTGTCGGGCTGCCCCCCGCGGGACGCGCCGCGCCGGACCAAGACCATCGCTTCATATTTTTCTCCTCCTCCTCCTCTCCCCCCTCCTCCCTTTTTTTTCCTTTTTTTTTTTTTCCTTTTTCTTTTTTTTTTTTTTTTTTTTTTTTTTTTTTTTCGTTATTTTTTAAAGGACCGGCCTCGCCGCGGGGCTGGTCCCTCCCCGCCCCGCCGCCCCCCGGGCTCTTGCGGGGGTCGCCTCTCCGCTGCCCGCGGTGACTCGGCGGGGTCCGCGCTCCCTCCAGAGACTTTTGGGGGTCCCCCGGCCCCCGCGGACAGCTGGGGGGGGACCAGCCCCCCCGAAGACACTCTGCGATTCGCCCCGTCCTCCTCCCCCGACGGGGATCGGCCTCCCGGAGACTCCTCCATCCTTCCCCGGAGAGACTTCGAGGGTCACCCGCAATTTCCTCCTTCCACCCCTCTCCCCCTCCCTCCTTTCCCCACGGAAGGATTTTTTTTTTTTTTTTTTCACCCGACGGAGGGTATTTTGGTTTCGCCCTCGCTGCGAAGACTATTTCGTTTTGGGGAGGAGGGGTGTTTTCCACACGGGAATTTAATCCCCCGCTGGGCTGCTGAGGAGACTTTTGCGGCCTTTCTCTCTCAAGGAATACCTTCCCCCCTCCCCTGCCCCCGCAGATGTTTTTTTGGGGTACACCCCAGGAAATTTTTCTCTCTCTGCCTTTACGAATTCTTCAGACTGGCCTTGCTTCTGGCCCCTGAAGTTTGTTTTTATGCTTTTAAATTTTAATTTATTTGGAATATTTTTGGAGCAGGGGAGAAGAATCTGACCCCCCCACACCCTGTTGCCCTCGGACTCCGAAGAGACGAGCCTGGATTTTTCTCTCTCCCACGGCCAATCCTTCCCAGTCATTCCACAATTTGCCCCTTTCTCATCTGATGACTAAAGGAACAGGAGGAAGAGAAGGGGGGGTTCTGGATTGATTGCCCCCGCTGGATTATTTATGTTTTCCTACTTCTCTTGCTTGGCATCTGAGAAGAGAGGAAGGAGGGATGTCAACTGATTTTTAGCCCTAGCCCCCCCGGATTAATTACCCCATTTTTATTCTCTTGTTGGATCAATTACCCCTTCACCTCACCTCCTCTCCCTCCCCTCCTTATGCGAACGAGAAGACAAGAGGAACGGGGAGGATTTTGATCTTAATCTCCCGTCGTTGGATTACTTACCACCTCCCTCTTTCTGTTCTCCCCTTCCACCGTGGCTTTACCCCCCCGGTGGAGCTCCAGAAGACGAGAAAACGTTCTGACTTCCTTTTAAAAAAAAAAAATTATTTTTTTTTTAATAATTTTTTTTAATATATTTTTTTTTTTACCCCCCTCTCTCGTCCTATTCCCCCTGCCACTATTTCGCGTGCGCGCGCGTGTAAATCCCTTATTTAATTGTATTATTATTTGTGCGTGTGCGGAGCCCCCCTCCCCCTTTCCCTCTCGCTGTCTGTCTCTCTCTCTCTCTCCCTCTCTCTCCCTCTCTCTCTCCCTGGCTGTCTCTTTCTTTCTTGTCGGAGGCTGTGGGATAATGGCGTGTGGGTTGTGGCTGTGAGGATGAGTTCCTGCTTCGTGCCGAACGGGGCCAGCCTGGAGGATTGCCATTCCAACCTCTTCTGCCTGGTGAGTGGCGGCCCCGGGCTCGCAGCCGCCCGGGGACACGGAGGGAAGGGAGCCGAGCTCTGGGGGAGGGGGAAGGGGCAGTGGAAGCAAAGCAGCCATTTTTAGCAGAGCTTCTGTTGGATGAGCCCTCGGAGTAGGCCCTGCCTGGAGCAGCCAACTCTCCCATGCCCCTCTGGTTCCCCCTCCATCGCTGTCTGTCTCGCCTCGCCCCTCCCTCCGCTTTCTTCCTGGATAGTATCCTCCCTGCAACTCGCCTTTTCCTTCCCTTTCCGTGCCTCCCAACTTTTCCTCCTTTCTCCCCGTTGCCCGCCTCTGATCCCCTGCCTTCCCATCTCCTGCCCCTGCTCCTTCCAGCCCCACATCTCGGGGAACTTTCTCTTTCCTCTCCCCGCTCGTGGCATCCCAAAAGCCGAGCCGAAACCTCCCTTCTTCCTCGCTTTTAGACGGATCCCTTTCGCTGCTTGTTTTTATCCTGGAGGGCTGCTTTTGGTGATGCCCTCCCTGGGATCGGTGCTGTCTCTGTGTTTTGATGTGCACCATTTTGTAGCCCTTTTTAACCCAAGTATCAAGTCGCTCACATTGTTGAATTTTGGTAGCTCCCAAAGTGAATTCGATATAACTGGCCTGTGATGCAATTTTTGGTGGCTGTGCTGAGCTGTTTCATCAGCTTTTTAATGCAAATGAGCTGATCTTAGCTGACTGCCTGATATTTAGGATTCTAGAGATTGTTACAACAATCCTGTGCCGAGCTGTGGCACTCATATTTTCGGATGGAGGGGGATCTGAACGTGCCTGCAGCCTGCACCAGGCCCGCAGCCCCATATTAACAGTGTATTTTTAAATCTGTGTTTCTAAAGTATCAACTGTTGCAGGCAACCTTTCATCCAAATTGCTCTCCTGCTGAAGGTGGGGAGGCTGCCATGTTACATTTAAATGTTGCACTAATCTTTTGTGTGTTGTCATGCCGGGGAGGCAAAAAATAGTAACTTCTTAGCAAATGCCAGCCTGCCTTGTTGTCCCTCCTGGAGGAGAACCCGGGGCAGTGCCTCCCCTACCTGCCCTAAGGTGACTGGGTGAAAAAACTTAGCACTAAAACTTGGGGCTGCCATGTAGATAATCCAGGAATTGTGTTTCCCGCTAGACAGGGTAGGGCCTCTTCCCCTGTATAAAGCAAATTTAATTTTTGCCTAGAAGGGGGTCCAGTGGCTCAAAATCGATGTGGGCTCAGGTCTAACGTGTAATTTAATGATAAAATTGGGATCGAAGTTCTCGGAACGTGGTGTGAGGAATGAAAAGTATGAGAGCTCCTGGTGAAATCAGGGAACTCGAGAGGCTTCCTGGGGGAGATGCAGAGAATGTTTTACAATGGAGAAACTTGTGAAATTTTCCAGAGGAGTAGATGGCTGGAAGAATGTGTGCTTGGGTTAGATTTACTGTATTACCTATTTCCATGGGGTAATCTTGGATTGAAAAGGTAGTGTGTGCATAAGCAAGTGGAAAGAAAGATGTCCTTTGCTAAAGCAAGTGTGTGGGAGCTTGGGCAGTTGCAGTCTGTGAATAATTCACATTATTCACTGGTCTTTCCCTCATTGACTTTAAATCAAATCTGCCTTTTCTCTGTGTGGTGAAAAGGAGCAGCTCTTGCTTTACTGCAGTTATTCAGAGAGATTTTAAACCAGGATTCCTGCTTATTTCCCCTTCACAAAACTCACCACCGCGATTTCCCTTAAATTTTGTGCCACCCATCCTTCCTTTCTCCCTTCACCTGGCCGTTTGTGTGGGGGGTAACCCTGCCTCCATGTGTGATGTTGTTTTCCTTCCCTTCCCTCAGGCTGATCTCACTGGGATTAAATGGAAGCGCTACGTGTGGCAGGGCCCAACGTCTGCCCCGATTCTCTTCCCGGTCACGGAAGAGGATCCCATCCTGAGCAGCTTCAGCCGCTGCCTCAAGGCCGACGTGCTCAGCGTGTGGCGCCGGGACCAGCGGCCGGGGCGCAGGGAGCTCTGGATCTTCTGGTGGGGGGACGACCCCAACTTCGCTGACCTGATCCACCATGACCTCTCAGGTAGGAGGACGTTCATTCGGGTCGGTCCTTGGCTCGGTGAAAGGATCGTGGTGCTCAGGGCTGCAGGCCCTGAGAACGTCTCTACCAGAGAAATGTTGTCTGTGGAGATGGATTTACTGCTGCAACCCTCCCCAAATGATTCCAGCAGTGCCCAAACA